ATGAGAGGTTTGGGAGACAATATGTGGATATGAAGGATGCAAAGCCCCTGCACCAGATAGATTTAATATGAATTTTTACAAGAAAAATCGGGATGTGGTTAAGGGGAAGGTTATAGAGTTTGTGGCAGGGCTTTTCAACTCAAGCAAACTTAGGCTAGGGGTGAATAACTCTTTTGTTACACTTATTTCAAAGGTTGAAAATTCAAGGGAATTGAGAGACTATAGGCATATTAGCCTTGTTGGAAGTCTCTACAGAATCGTGGTTAAACTACTTGCCAACAGATTAAAGGCGGTCATTAGTGACGTGATCGGGAATAATCAATTTGCTTTCATTAGAGGCAGGTAATTAATTGATTTTGTTTTGGTGGTAAACAAGATTATTAATCTACTTAGAAAGGAAAGAAAAAAGACAATGTGGACTTCTAAAAGGCTAACGACAATGTGGATTGATGATTTTTTGATTTTATTATGATTAAAATGGGATTTCTTGAAAAATGAAGGGAATGGATTAAGGAGTGCATTTCCACTATAGGGATTTCAGTGCTAGTCAATGGTTGACCTATGTGAAATTTTAGTATGCAAAAAAAGCTTAAGTAATGATGCTTACTACACTGTTCCTTTTTAATTTGGTGGTTGAAGAGTTTAGCTATTTGATGAAAAAATTGAGGGAATTAGAGTCTGTAAAGGTATTCACATTAGACGAAATGGGTTTATTGTATCACATCTGCATAATGCAGATGATACGATGATATTTTGCTACTTGAAATTAGAGGAGGTAAGGAATGTGAGAAGGATGTTGAGAATTTTCTAAGCCATGTCAGGTCTGAAGATCAACTTTGCTAAGAGTAGTCTTATAGGGTTTGATATTGATAAGTTCTTAGAGGAATGGGTTGGGGTGGTTAGTTGCGAATGTGATGTTTTCCCAAGCACTTATCTTAGGTTGCCTTTTGAATCTAATTTGAAATGTGATCAGACATAGGGACTAGTTTTTCAATATTTTGAAAGCAGATTGGAAAGCTAGGAAACTAAATTTCTATCCATGGGTAGGAGGATCACTCTGTTGATGGTTATGGAGATTCGGGAGAGAAAGAAATAGTCTGTGGAGGAGGGTGGTGAGTGAAAAAAATGAAGAGGATTCTTTACGCTTGCTACCACAAAAAGGAACAGTGGGAAAGCTTCCAATGTTTGAAAAAATATTACCAAACCCCTTTCCCCCATTAACCAATTTTTATTGCAAGTTAGGCCAAATTTTGCTTTTGTCATTGGCAATGGAGAGTGTATTAAATTTTGGGATGATGTATGCGCCAAGGAGACAGTGTTGAAGGAAGAGAATGTATGCTTTTGCTAAGAATAAAAAAGGAAAGGTAAAGGAGTTTAAGGAATGGGTTAATGGGATTTGAGAATGAAGGGTGGAGCTAAGAAGACAAGTCTTGGGATGCGAAGAGGAGCAATATAGGAGAGTTCTCATTTCTATTGAAGAGCATTTCCCTTGCCCAGAGTTGGGCAACGAGTTGGTGTTGAAGGGAAATGCTAGTGGGATATACACAACTAAATCCTTATGCCAAGTGATAAGAAAAAGAGGGGGAGGCAAAGAGAAAATATGGAAGTGGGTCTGGGGGGATTTCTCCTAACAAAACTAAAGAACTTGTGTGGCAGTTGGTTCATGGAAAAGCTGCTGTGAAGGCTAAATCGACTAGGAGGGGGATGATTAGAGTTGAGGATGTTATGTGTCCTCTTTGTAAGATAGAACTTGAAACGGTTGATCACCTCTTCATGGGGTGCATAGAAGTTTGGGGTTTTTGGATTACTTGAGTCATTAGTGGGAGATAAAGTGGGCCATGCTAAGAAAGTTTATGGAACTGATGATAATTTGGAACTCTATGGTTACAGGAGATGTGGATGATAAAATATGGAAATTGACCGCGCTCGCTCTCACATGGACGATCTGGATCAATAAGAATGAACTCAAATTCCAATAGAAAGAATGCAACAAAGTTGCTATTTGGGAAATTATTAAACCTATAGTCGCTTTGTGGGAAAATGGCAGATGGCCTAATGTATATATATCGGTGCTTAATGTGTTCAAACAATCAAGTGTTAGTTTGAAAATTAATAAGAATAAAGTTGAGAGGACTAACACGGTGTGGAAAAAACCTAACACGGAAAAAGTCAAATTTAATGTTGATGGGACTGCAAATGGCTGTCCGAGTGAGGCGATGATTGGAGGAATTATGAGAAAGGTAGATGAGGAGTGTTGATAAGGTTCTCCAAGTACATCGAGGTAGAGGACTCCAATATGGTTGAGATTATGGTCATTAAGAGGCTTTCAATTTGTTTTCGAATTCAGTATGGTCGAATGAATTTAAAATCACTATAGAAAGGGACTCTGGGAAAGCAATGAAGTGGGTGAATTCACCGAAAGATGCCCCATGGAGGTTTAGGAAATGGGTGCTGTAGATTGAGGATCTTAAGAAAAGGGTGAAATGATGGAAAGTTGATGACATTTTCAGGGAAGGGAACCAAGAAGCTGATAGCTTGGCAAAGGAAGGCGTGTGCAGAGATGAAGATTTATTGGAAATTTATAATGAAAACTGAGATGTCAGGGACGAAGAATTAAAAGAACACATTTCTAGGAGGGACACTGCGGTGAAGATTGCTAGGTGTGATTCCTGGTTTGACTATGTGAGCGATTTGTGCTTAATCTATGGGATTCTGCCTCTTCCATTTGTATGTTGCTAATGTCCAGAATTGGCACATGGGCTTGGATTTGGGTTGTGATTTTTGTTTTTGGGGATGCACAGATGGGTTTGAGTTGGATGTGGTTGGATTGAGATGAGGATAAGATTATTTTATCTTGATCTCAAGGCAACCTTATTCTACAGGTCTTATTTCTGTGATTTGTGGGAACCTCTATATTGGGCTTTTGCAAGTCTCATACCTTTGTGGTGGCTACTTATTTCTCGATTGAGCTGCCTTAGTCAAGATTTTGAATGAAATAGATTGTCACGCTTTTCAAAATAATAAAAAAATAATAAATGGTACAACAATTATTTGATTGCCATCAAATTACTATCAAACAAAATAACAGCTGGTAAAAGTAGCCCATTTCCCTTCGAGGATTGTGAGCATGATATGGACCGAACCTCTGTGTGTCCCTCGTCAACCAGCACATGCGAATAAAATAATAGGCCATGGCCATGATTTTCCACAAATGTCAGCTTTTTTTTTATATGATAATTTATATTTTAATCATATTAATATAAAATATAATATAATTAAATATGAATATGAATATGACATGAATAATTATTTACGTTAATATCTAAAATATATATAAATATATTTAATAATTATATAATATTATATAAATAACACATTTATTAAACACGTTAAGATTCTTTATACGACACGACACAATTAATAAATAAAATTAAACATTTAATAAAATTTTTTCTTAACAAGATTAACACGTTTAATAGGATCAACTTAAAATACATATAATTAAATATAATTTTATTATTTAAATTTAAAATCAATAATTATGAAAATAATTATAACAAAATAATAATAACATTAAATATAATTAAATTAATATAAATAATATACATAATATTCATTATCATACTAATAAAATTCATAATTATTATTAAACATATCATTTATACATGTTTAAATATGATTAATTGAACGTATTTTAAATGTGTTAATCAATCTTTGACGCAGTTAAGATACAAAATTTTGGTGTATTAACTGTGTCAACACGATTAAAACATGAAATATAAATAAAGTTAAACCCAAACATATTTAACTCTATATTGTATTATCATGTGTGTCCAAAATTACAAAATCTACCTATGTCCGCCTGACTTTAAACCAATATCAACAAATTTGAGAATTCTAATAGGTTAATACTCGTTGTAGTTTCAAAGGAGTATAGCTCATCAAATTACTTGTTAGAGTGGAGGATTCTAAATTTATCATTAGAGGTATGATGATGTATCCTATATATCTTTGAATAAGCGTAAATTTTTTTCATTTAATTAAAAAATAGTAAAAAATCAATGGTATCAGTATATTTCATTAATAAATAAAGAAATATTTATAAGATATTTAACTTTTGTGAGTTTATAACTTTTAAAGAAGGAATGATGAATTTGATCCATTATTCTAAGGAAAATGATACACTTAGATGTTTATCTCTAATAAGGAATGAAATTTAGATTTTCCGAATTATTGGACAAAGATTTATAATTGTCAATGCGTTTACCACGCTTGTTTTCCCCAGTTATTGAGGTTGAGCATATATATCACGTTGGGATTCGACAACACCGAACCGTCCAAATGTTTTAAGAATATTGACCATGAGTTTCATACAAACAAACGAAATTATTGCTCTTATCAAATCAAATATTAATGAAAAATTTTCATTTATCTAAAAAAAATTTGAAAATCGACAGAAATTTAGAAGAAAAATTCACCGACAAGGATAGCATTGGAAGTATTTTCATAACTAACGAATTGGATCGATGACTGAGATTATTCATAGCCGACACTATACCCAGGCACTGAGAAAAGTCTTTGCACAGCTGATTTTCTACCACCTAAATATGGACATGTTGATGCACATGAATATCTCTTTGGTGTTTGGAACTTGTAACTGACTGAGAAAGCATAGTAAATGCGTAAAATAAATAGGGAAAATAAAGCGAAAGCACAAGGGTAGAGGTTTTTTCTTTCTTAAAAAGTAATTTTATTAGCACTAAGCACTAAGTAATGTTATTTAAAATTGCTGGAGTACTGCTGTAATAATTTATTTTATTTAGGGAAAAGAAAGCAGCAGACTCCATGGAAAGCAAGCCAAGACAGGATCCATAAAAGGGACTAGACTCAAAGATAAGAACGGTCCTCACTCTATTTTCCTTTGTCCTTTTCCAATTCAGACACAGTGATCCAGTTCCAGCAACGTGAAAGTAATGGAGCTTCAATGTTGGGAACTCAAGTGCTCAACTATAAATACCCATCAGAAGTAACAAATGTTCCTCAATCCCGCTAAAAGATCTACAATTGATGGCTGCTTCTTGGTTTGTTGTAGCCATAACATGGCTAGCTTCTATAGCCTTCCTCTCAAGAATTTTCACTAGCCGGCGCAACCAGCTAAAGCTTCCACCAGGTCCCAAGCCCTGGCCGATCATTGGCAACCTGAACCTCATCGGTTCCCTCCCGCACCAATCTCTTCACGAACTATCCCAAAAATACGGACCATTAATGCAGCTTAAATTTGGTTCACACCCTGTCGTGGTTGCATCATCTGCAGACATGGCGAAGCAGTTCCTGAAGAACCATGACCAAAATTTTGCCTCTAGACCCCGAACTGCAGCCGGCAAGCACACTACTTATAACTACAAGAATATTACGTGGGCTCCTTATGGACCATACTGGCGGCAAGGGCGCAAAATTTACCTGAATGAGCTATTCAGCTCGAAAAGACTCGAGTCCTTCGAGTACATCCGCGTCGAGGAAATGCGTGCTTTGGTCTCTTGCCTCTATGGATTCTCAGGGAAGCCGGTTTTGCTTAAAGAGCACCTCTCGCGTGCTACTCTCAGCGTTATAAGCAGAATCGTTTTGGGAAAGAAATACTTCAGTGAGTCTGATGATCAGCTTGAAACTTCGATGGTGACTCTGAAAGAGTTTCAAGAGATTCTGGACGAGTTGTTCTTGCTTAATGGAGTGTTGAATATTGGGGACTGGATACCCTGGCTGGACTTTTTAGACTTGCAGGGGTACGTAAAGCGAATGAAGGCTTTGAAGAAAAAACTGGATCGATTTCATGAGCATGTGTTTGATGAACATAAGAGCAAAAAGAAAGAATTGAAGGATTTTGTGCCACAAGACATGGTGGATTTACTGTTGCAGCTGGCTGATGATCCTGATATAGATGTTAAGCTCTCTTATGATGGCGTCAGGGGGTTCACTCAGGTATCGATTATGCTCATTCTTTTGTTCCGGAGTCACTTAATTAATTACATAGATGTCATAAATGAATCAGGAGATCATCATGATCAAAGATAACATCAAGTAAATTAGGTCTACGAAAGTCAGGGCTCCATCCTACATCCATGGGATGATTATGGGAACTAAGGTCGTTCATTGCAGTTACTCGTTTTCTTGGGCTCTTTAGTTTTGAGTTTGGTTTCTGTTTCCTGTTCCGGTGCTCCCACCTCACTAGTTCGAAACCCTCAATATGCGACAGTTTTGTATTACTCTTGCCTTTTTCGTAAGATTTTGTATTTCTTGGCATGTGATCTGAATCCAAATCCTCTGCCCCCAATCCGTCGTGCTCCATTCTGTGCCCTTTCTCTCACAAAGTAACATGTGTCCATTTATTTAATTATTAATTAATATATGTTTAGTTTTAATCTTTTATCTTTTATTTTTTTTTCATATTTCTTTTTTTCTTTTATGAAATCATTTACTAATTGATATTATGATAACAGATATAATTTGGTCAACCAAATCTACGAATTAAACCGACGGTAGTAGATCTGCACGATAATCATCCCTTCCTGTTAATCTTCGTTATGACCACCCAATTTGAGATTCATGACCTAATAATAAAACTGTTCGGAAGAGATAGGCGGGGAGAATTAGGATAAGAGAGAAGAACGAATTTATTTACTTAGGATTTGTAAGCAATAGAATAGAAAAGAGAGTGGAAAGTCTGAGAGTAGAATTTGGTTTTTTTATTTTGTTTTGTTTCTTTTTTATTGATCTTTTAATTAAATTTAATCTTTTTTTGTTATACTGAGAGCAGAATTTAAGCTTTGCCCTTTCTTTGTTTTAGTTCTCTTTTTTATTGGTTTCATAGTAAAATCTGATCTCTTTCTTTGTTATTTTGAGGACAGAGTTTGGGTTTTCGTTGTTTTTCTCACACAAGAAAAAATCTCATCGTGCATCGATGAGGATAAGAAAATACAAGTTCATGTTTTTCTTACTTAAAAAAATAAGCAGAAGATCATTTATCAAAAGTCTGTAGATGGAGAAATGAAGAGGAAATAAGAGATAAAAAATTAAAATCAAACATATATTAATTAGTAATTAAAAAAATAAACATGTGAGACAAGGAGCACATAAAGGGACACGGATTGAGGGCAGAGGATTTGGATTTGTGATAGCTGACTATGCCTGTATTATATGTCTTTGGGTCATTTCATGAGGCAGCGTGGTAGACCAATAAAAAATAACAAATATATTTTCAACTTTTAAATTTTAAATATTTATTAAACATATCTTTGAATAAGAAAAATAAAAGTAACAAATATTTATTAAACACTAATTGATTAGAAAAACAGGTCAAGTAGTACTATAAAATTGTGTTAAAAAAGTGAAAGTGCTTTTGAGTTCTTTGACAGTAGGTTACGTCCTTCAAGTTTGGTCCACCGAAACATGAAACCATTATCTTCAAATTCTCATTTTGTCATGCCTGCACACATGTACGTAGCTTGTGATGATGATAAATCCAAATTTAATCATTAAATTGTTATGGTGTTCGTATTTCAGAAAAAAAAAAAAAGAAAATAAAAGAGCTTTCTGCTTTGCCCCGCTGCTACTCGATGACAATTTTTCTTGTGTGGTCAATCGCGATCAGGACCTGATAGCTGGAGGGACAGATACCTCGGCAACAACTGTGGAATGGGCAATCTCTGAACTCATCAAACAACCCCAACTCATCAAAAAGGCAACTGAAGAACTAGACAGGGTAATTGGCAGAGAGAGATGGGTCGAAGAGAAAGACATCCCTCAACTTCCTTACACAGATGCAATCATGAAAGAAACAATGAGGAAACACCCGGTTGCCGTAATGCTAGCACCACACTTGGCCCTGCAAGATTGTATTGTTGCTGGATATGATATTCGCAAAGGAACTACAGTCTTCATTAACACTTGGAGCATGGGGAGAGACCCGTCGCTGTGGGAGGAACCTGAGGAGTTTCGCCCTGAGAGGTTCCTAGGGAAGAATATCGATGTGAAGGGGCAACATTTTGAGCTGTTGCCATTTGGTTCTGGAAGGAGGATGTGCCCTGGCTATAGCCTTGGACTAAAGATGATTCGATCAAGCTTAGCAAACTTGTTACATGGGTTCAACTGGAAATTGCCTGACAATACTAATGCAGAAGATTTGAGCATGGAGGAAGTTTATGGATTGGCAACACCGAGAAAATTCCCACTCGTTGCAGTTTCGGAGCCCCGTCTCCCGCTTCATCTTTATAAGATCTAAATCCCACATAAATCCTTCTTCTCAGTACTTTTCGACCAGGTATTTCCCCACCTATGCAGTCATCTGTGGTACTATGAGCGTTCTATTATCATGTCTATGTGTCTCTTTAGCTGTTTAATGCACCCACTTGAGGGGCTGATGTCTATATTGTATGCTGTAATCCTACAACTTTGTGACTAATAAATATTGCATCCTTTAAATTGAGGCACTGCCAAAGAAATTTGTTTGTCTATAAAAATAGAGTATAATATTTTAAAATTCAGAATCTTCTCACACTCTAACTTCAATGGTTCAGATGTTATTATCAAAACGATCATAAGAAACTGGAAACCTGAAACAGATAATAATATATTTATAAAGATCAACATTTTAGCTACAGTGATTTCCTGCTGGTTGCAGAATCTGCTTGTGACTGCAAATATGTTTGGATTCTAGCCTCTAACCTTGCAATATATTTATTGTGTGTCACAAGCATATTGACTAACACGCTCTTCTGAAAAATAATTCTAATAATTGCATGATCCAGCAAAGGAGAAAAAGGGCCACCATATCTGATTGCTACAACAAGTCAAATGAATAGAGGAATCACGGTTGAAATACCGGCTTGTTCCTGTCCTTATTTCATATTAAACATATAGAAAGGATGTTACTGTGTTGGTCTCAGAGTTGCAGATAATTGATGCTTAAATTTTTGGTGTCTTTCACCGTCATACTTGTGCAGTTGAAATAGAAATGATGATTGCTATAGTCAATCAATGCAGCTAGGAGTCTGTCTGTCATTATTTTGCCATTGGCTACTAAGGAATTTGATGACATATATTGAAACAAGCATATCATTCGGGATCTGAGTAAAAAGTTTTAATTGATTGACAATGCTTGGAGTCTGCATGACTAGTTTTGGCGCTTGCCCTGTTTTCTTAGCCTCTGAGTATTCATTATTTAAGGCGCTTTGTTGGTTGGTTCACTAAAACTTGAAAAACCAGTTCATTTGATCACTCTTCTCCTTGCACGTAGAGAAAAATCACCAACAAAATAAATTGCCAGTTGGTCAGGGAGATTTGTAGCTCCTAGTTCGTCTATTCTTCTCTCGCTTCTCCCATTTTTTTTTTTTTGGTTTTAGATTATTTTTTGTCCCATTTTTAATTAGAAGAAAACAAAAAGGGAAACCAACTTAAAACAGGGGATCTGATGGTATATATGGAAACAATGAATCTTTTCCCTTAATTGTTGCAGAACGACTGCCATGCATAAGGCTCCTGCTTGGACAAAATAATTGAGTTATGAAAAAGTAGTTTAGTGGGATTTGATCCCCAATGGTATAATCCGCGTTGTTTCAATGCTTAGCTGTATTTAACAATTTTGAATATTTGCTTTTAGATCAACATGGGTTGGTGATTAGCCATTTTTGAACCAGTCTTTTGCTTGATAAACAATTAAACCCACCCCATCCCAGATACAATTTCTAAAACAAAAATTCTTGTATTGGAAAGAATCAATTGAAGTAAACAAGTCTTTGCTGTCAAGAAAAACTTACACCCTTAACATTTGCCACAGTGTGCAATCCAAGGCAAGCTCTAGTTAATGGCTATTTACAGTGTGATTTACAGTTGTAGTGCTAGTCTATACTCTATGCTCCCCTAGCTTTATGGTGCAAGGGAGAATTCAACCCGTTTCTAGGAGTTTGCTTTAGAGTGTCGCTTTCCGAGTGAACCGAAGACATCCTTGGTGATCTGTTTTGATGCTTATGGCCGTGGAGTTTGTGGTTTTTGTGATGATGATGGCCGTTCTCTTTCCTAAATTCCTTCTTAAATTCGCATTCCTTAGTGTCCTTGTCCTCCTTTGGCGAACCACTTTCGGTTGGGACCGTATAAACAAAGGGACCAATTGGAATGTCTTCAGCGTCCTGCAGCGGCTCCAAAGTGTTGACCACATCACTCATTTTTGGTCTTTGCTTTGGCCGGTGACTAAGGCATTGGTAAGCCAATGCAGCTGCCTTTCGTGCCCCCATTTCTGAGTATTGGCCTTCCAGTCTGGGATCCATTATCCGGCCAAGTTTCCTAGGATCATTCAACATTGGCCTTGCCCACTCTGCTAAGTTCTGTTCCCTTTGGGAACGGCTCTTGTCTAAAGATCTTCTCCCCGTTAAAAGCTCCAGAAGTACCACTCCAAAGCTATATACATCACTCATTGCCGTCAAGTGGCCTAAAACAACAGTTACAATTATATCAGTTTTTAGTAGATCTACAATCTAAATACGAAAATATGTCAAATTAGACCAAAAATGCATGAATCAAAATGCTGTACCTGTCATGATGTATTCAGGAGCAGCGTACCCTTGCGTCCCCATAACTCTGGTGGAAACATGCGTGTCATCCCCTTCCGGGCCATCTTTTGCCAGACCAAAATCTGAAAGTTTGGCAGTATAATCCTGGGAATAAAAAAAAATGTTTGGAAAAGTAACATCAGTATAGGAAGAAAATCTATTTTATAATTCTGATGGGACACAAGTTTTGTGCGGTTGGTAAGAACTTCAAAAACCGACATACTTACAGAGTCTAACAAGATATTTGACGCTTTAAAATCTCGGTATATGACTGGTTTATCTGCTTCGTGGAGATAGGCAAGACCCTTGGCAGCTCCAAGAGCAATTTTCATCCTTGTCGCCCATGGAAGAGAAACTGAATATCCTGCAGGCAGGAGATTGACGTTAATTTCTTGTACTGTTTTGTGTGAACAAAATTTCTCTATAACAGAATGGTAATTTACAGAGAGAACATACTTCTAAATAGCTGATTCTCCAAGCTGCCCCTCGGCATATATTCATATACCAGTAGCCTATGTTCTTCTTCGCAACAATATCCGATCAGCTTCACAAGATGTGGGTGCCTCAATTGTGCAAGAAAGATCACTTCAGTCTGTTCCAGAAAGAAACATTTATTAATCAATAAATCAAACTTTCCAGTCGAAATAAAGCATTAGAAGAAACGGGAATTCAGGAAACAGGACAATTGATGTCCTAACGTAAGCAATATATCGATTGAAAAGACTCACCAACCACTCTCTATGTCCTTGCAGGCCTTCTAAATCCAGGAGCTTAACCGCCACAGGCTGAGCTTTCACTCCGGGCCTAAGCTTGTCATCAATGAAACCTTTATGAACCGGTCCAAACCCACCTTCACCGAGAAAGTTAGCCGATGAAAAGCTCTGGGTTATCACCTTTAGCTCCCCAGCGTAAAAACATGTAGGTTTGAACCGGCAAGCGATGTAGACAGGTCCTCCGAAAGCATTGAGCTGGGATAACTTAAGTCTAACATTGCAAGCCTGGTAAATGAACTTTGCTTTGAAACTTCCTTCTTAGGCTTGGGTTCTGGTTTCTCAACACCCCTGGAACAGCTCGGGATGATGGATCTCCAAGTGATTTTCATCAGAGTCATTTTTTTTTTCTGAATCTAGTATATTTCTACAAATTCACTTCTTCAAACTTGTATCGACGTATATAGGATCTAAAAGTAGAGGATTATCCGTGGTTGGCGATAGCCAACAGTTTTTAGGTAAAGATTTGAAAGAATAAAGAAGATTAGGTTAGAAAGATATCAGAGGATGGCGAAGAAAGAGCAATGGTTTGGAAGGACTTTAATAAGGCCTGCTGGGAGAGGAGAGGGAAGGCTAAAGATTGGAAAATATTCAAAGATCAAATCACCAACTGCTCTGAAAAACTAGACTCGGGGAGAAAGAGGTTTGCTTGCAACTCCTTTTTATCTAGTTCCCAACACCCTTTGATTTTTTCTGCACATCATTCTATTACGACATAAAATTTGGAATTCTTCCACGGCTTCCACCCTTCCTCTTTATTTCTATATATATATATATATATATATATATATATATGATTACAGACATTATTATGCCATTTGATTAATGGGTAAACTGAGTCTGTAAGTCCACAAAAGTTGGTTCAATACAATGACGCGGCTGCCCCCCTTGACTTTCCTATTCTCAGAACTTTGTTTTTTGTCCTTTGGAATGTCGTCGTTGAAAGCACATTCGATTATTCAAGACTCCTTTTCATCCAGCTACGTATTGAAATTGCTTGTCGTATTTCCAAAATTGACTCCTTGGTAACAATATTCTAAAATGAATTCAAATGTGTGGGTTTTTTTTTTAATATAAAAAAGAAGAACCGTTTGGTAGTAATCAAGCAGAGAACAACAGCTATTACACACTAAAATCCGCAGTCAGAGGACAATGTCCATCAAATTTGAAATCTAGGTTTGCTTACACCTCGTAACTTGCAAGAGAAAAAAAAACAGGTTGGTCTGCCTGCAATATTGTCTTCTATCTTCCAGAAGATTTACTTATATTATAAATATAGTATTGTGTTTGTTTAGATGGCTGACATGATGAATGTATTTTGTGTGCATGACGATTAAACCACAGGCGGATCATCACAACCGCGTGAACTGTGGACTTTTTCCCCCCTTCCTCTAGGTTGGATGGTCATGATATTTCCTTGCAGTTGACCTTGGATGGGTTCACAAAGCTGGTGGGTGATGGCTCAGCTTATTATCTTTCCATAAACTTTGTTTAATCCTGTTCTTACTTGTACTCAAAATATTAAAAACGAAAACTGCCAATGAAATTGGACCCCTCAATCGCACTCCACAAAATAAAAATCCTTGGGAGTGGCCTTGTTAAGGGTCACCTTTCACCTACATTGTCATTCATGAAAATAATTTGGGCCACTATGATAAGGATTAAGCTGAGAGGGACTACGCTTAAGAAAGAGGAAAACGGGTCATGACTCATGTCTCAATCCCTATATCCGTGAAAATGAGGGGCCAAAATTGTCAAAGAGGGAGTAGGTGTGTGATTTGAGAGAACAATTCGTGGTGTCGTCAGCTTGAGGGAGAGTCAATGGGCAATATTGTCATTTGAAGTAGACAATTACGACCGCGTTTTGCATGAAGCAAAGTCTTTTTGGACTAGATCCATGTGAGGAAAATACAAACAAATGAATACTATTAAAGAATCTTTCCAACCAAAAATAGTATTAAAGAAATTAAATAAATTAGTATTAAATTTGCATATTGCATGGTTATTGCTTTTGCTGATTTTTCTTCCCCCACGCTTCTTCGCTAATTCAAAACAACTCGATCAAAATACTGCTTTTTGATTATGTATTAAAATAAGTGTTGGTTGGCATTTAGCTGAAAGGGAGAAAACTGGGAAGAAGCTGTGACCATGTTATATTATAGTACAAATCTAATGTAAATGGATTAATTAGAAAGGTATTGTTGCAGGTGAATCATTTAATTACTTGGGAAAACGACTGCTGTTTTCCTTCAGAAGGTCGTCTTGTTTTTCATTGACAGCCTTGGATAGACTGGCAGCATAGCATTTTGAAGTTAGTAATTGGCAGTAAAAATGCTGTTTTAACAGTTTCTTTAAAGGTCAAAAAATGATTAGGATGAACAAATCAATCAAACTACAACCACTTCATATGGAACTTCACCGAACAATCAAACACCCAAGCTTTGAAAAAAAAAAAAAACTTTTACGCCCAACATTGACTCTTCAAAGTTTCTCATGTACATAGGATTAATTTGTCATCATCACTCCTTCAATTATCAAGAGTCGAACAACAAACTAATAGACTAAGATCAGAGATTTAAAAATAATTACATCAGGTTAATGGAATGAAAAGTCTGAGGTTCAGTACGAAATACATGTTGATGGTTTGACATTTTGTCCAAGAATCTTTACATCTTATCGTACTGTGCCAGGTAAACCTTGTCCGATTATTTCTATATTAGAGAAAAGATTCCCTAAAAGATAAGGTGATTAACTGAGGAAAAATTAAGCTAATAATCTGCACGTGACTGTATAAAACTTTTTTTCAGGTGAACTACCGAAGACATTGATGTTAAGGTTTACCTTCTGGGCTCTTTAAAGTAGCCATAAGAGCAACCAAAGAAGCAAAATCTGGGTGGTTCGGATATTTGAAAATGAGGGGAAGGAGTGACCTTAAAATAGAACAAGTGTGAAATTTGGCCGGGGTTTTGTAGGAACGCACGTAACAGGGTATGAATTAAAGACGTGTTAGAAAACAATTAAGAGGAGGAGAAAAATAAGAAGATCCAGGGTATGAACGGTAGCAGATGAGACCACCTACGGAGTCAAAGTCAACCGTTTCATTGGCGTTTAGTTTTCATTTTGAATGGGCATTGGGTTTTTTCTGACTGATACAAATAAAGATTTGGCTGTGTGAGTGGAAACTCTGGATAATAGCTTCTGGAACCCTTCAACCCGGGAGAGCTTGGCTTTCTCTTAAAGCGCGTGTGTGCAGCAGTTTGCCAAAGACGAGAGAAAAAGTAATACCTAGTACAACTAGTAACAAAAATGCCGCGTGCGTGCAGCGATTGCGGACCCAACTTTCGTGTTGCTTCCTCCTCCGAGTTTTCTTTATTTTTTTAAAATCTTTTATCAAATCATAATAATAGTTTATTTTTTGTTTTCTCTCTCTATCTATTTCGGTCTCTCTATTTTTTTTTTTAATTCCTTTGATCTCCATTTTGGTTAATGGTGCCGGGGGCAATATTTATTTATTTATTTATTTATTATATTGTAATATAACAATATGTATGACTTTATTAGGTGTACCAAGCTTCATGTTAAGAGAATTATATGGTTGTTTAACAACATCATGGACAAATTTATCTGAAAAATAATTGAACGGATTTTTCTTTACGTAAATAAATTCCTGATATATAGAATTTTATTTGCCTTTTCTTATATATAAAAGAAACTTTTTTATCCCCGAATTCAGTTCATTTTTTGTTTAGTTTCCACGTGTACAAAGAGTCTTTGATTGGGCCTTATGGGTGGTTTAGATTGGGCTCTTGGTGGCTCAATTAAGTTCTAAGTCTTTCTTACACAATCAATTTCGGCCCAGATCAAACTAGACTAATCAACTAGGTCCCATCTATTGGAATTTGGATCCATTCTAATATCATCAAGGAGCCATCCTTTCACAATAAAAAGAGCCGTCAAGGTAATGGTTTTTTTAAGAAACTATACAATAAATCTTTTTTAAGGTTTTTTTTAATTAAAAAAATGAATTCAAACTTTACTTTTTAAACAAAAAATCATACACAACCAAATACTCCTATACAAAAGAGTCAAGATAATGGTTGTCATCTCTTAATTTTAAATTTTTTTATTATATATATAATTTAATATATGTATATATTTATAATTTTATATAATTACCTTTTAATATCTTTCATGTAAAATTTAAAATATGTCAAAGTTATAGTCAAGAAAAAAGATCAAAGAAATAAATTTTAAGAGTAAATATAATGTTTTATATTAAAACTTCTAAACTGTTTCAACTAAATTAAAATAACTTGATTCTAAGATCATTTGCGTCAAAATCATATGTATTGGTAATAGCCTTAAATTAAATTTTTAATAAGTGAGGTTTCAACTTTATCTCTATGGCTAAAATATTAAAAAAAAGTTATTGTACTATCTCAATTTTTTTTAGACAGGCTATATTCTATTATTGCACCTAAGTAAACCATTAAAGTATTATTTTTTTATTTTGTAGGAAAACCATTAAAATCTTTTATTATAACCATATTAATGTCTACATGGTTCATTATCTTTGTCAAATTAATCTTCATGTAACAAAATATAAAAATCCATACTAAGTTGACGCTTACATGATATATCATATTAGTGTCTATAAAACTCCTTTTTATTACCTATGTATTAAGTAGATATTAACATGGTAGAGATTACATCTATATATATACTACCATGATAAATCAACAAAAAAAAGAACTATAGAAAAGAGAAATTTAAATCAACGTGATAAATGACATCTATATATTGATGTCAAGACAGGAGGCGACGCGTGAGAGGGAGAAGCTTCCTGTGCGTGGGGCTGGTGCAGTGTCGATGTGGATTCAGAACAACTTCAAACTCGTGAAGGTCAAGACGATTTTTCAGCTATGTCTGGGGGCAGAAACTCTAATATTGTGAATCTAAATTATGTAGCTTAAGTATATATATAAAACTAATCTTACTTACAATTTAATTTTAATTATTTAATAATATTAAAATTATAATCTAACTAGATAATAGTATTATATAATAACTCAAATTAGACAAATTTTATATAATTATTTTAACTAGTACTCCTAACAATAAAAATTTGTCAGAGAAAGTTAAATAACACAGAAACGTCATCTTTGATCTTCTAATCGCATCTGGTAATCGATATCCGTCCCTACCAGTCTTGTACAACCATTATTTTCTTTGGCAGCTGCTAAACGTCAGATTCAGTCGCTATTTGAATGACCTTAAGATCAAACTTACGTAACTCGAATTGGCCAATACAGACCATTTTCAAAGGAGAAAAAAAAAATAAAGCTTATTGGGCCACTTGACAAACTTACCACACATTTTGGAGAACGAGGAATCCAGAAATGCTGATCACTGCGCACCGTCCCACCCCCCCTCTGCAACATGCAAGTGGCTGACTGTGTTGTCCAACCAAATCATTCCAGATAATTAACCTGGACCCCTTGTTGCTCTCCAACATCAAGGTATCTCCTCTACTGGCCCCCATCTTCTTGTCCTTGTATTTCTTTCGTCTAAGCAAGAAAATTTCCATCAATTTCAATATTTTCAATGATCAATTATAATGTCTTGTGGGGCACGTGAGAGATATTTATATACATATATCAAATAAAATCCTTTTTTCTTTCTTGTTGGGGGTTGGGAAAACAACAAAAACAATAAAGAGGAAGGAGACAAGAAAAGGTCGGCATCAACATTGCATTGTTTTTGTAGTTTCCTCGAAATTCATTTTGAAGCTTTGTTGGGGAGTGATGGCCTGGGGGATCCGATCTCAAAGCATCTGATTACGTCTCTCTTATTATGTTTTTTGTTCTCCTGTATACTTCAAAGCCAGTGCATCAACACGCAAAGCTTTGCTATTTGTTGGGTACCGACTCCTCAAAGCTAGCATTATCCTCCTAACCACCACGTGCTTTCATCACTACTATAAAATGCTGTTGATTTGCAAATAAAGAAACACAATGCTTTCCGTTTTGTGGCATAATACTTTAGCATTTCCTTTATAAATTAGTTAAGATAAGAAATGAATGTTGCACGTCTTGGTCAACAAAAACTAATACTATATATGTTGCATACAAGTATATATTAATCAAAGTTACTAAGCAAGAAAGAAAAAGAACCCAACGCTTTTTTTGAAACCCAAAAATATTTCTATCTAGTTGTTATACACTGTTAAATAATTATTTAATTGAAATTATTTCAAAAATTTTAAAATTATTTTATTTTTATATTTTATTTTAAATTAAATAAAATAATTTATTAATTTATCATTATTAAAATTTTATTTATTATTTTATATAATATGATATCAAAATCCCAACATCACATGATAATATATCAAAATAATATCATAATATAATAATATTAACACGTGATATTTTTTACTTTTCATCGTATATTATTATAAAAATAATAAATTTTATTTTAATTAATAATAATTAAATAATAAAAATATATTTATATAATATAAAAATTAATTAAATATAATAAAAATAAAATTTATTTAACATTTTTGAAATGTTATGTTTTTTTTTTTAAATAAGATATTAGAAAATTTTGCAGAAGTTTACAGCAAACAAACACGACAAAGCGGTTAGAAGTTTGATAGTTGGACGTAAGGAAATACGTCAGGTGAAGTACACTACGCACATGTGATAAGAGTTGGCCTTGGCAGTGTAATGAATTTGTTATCGTCCACTGTAGAACACGACACGACCCGCAACATGATTGGCCTACTATTGGTCAAGGAAATTTATTTATTATTTTGCCCCCTTTGGCCAATCCCATCATCCTAATTTTTCCGACTCACCAACCACTCGTTTAAATTTCTCTCCACAAAACCAGAAACAGAGAAACAGAGAGAGAACCGAGAAACATAATCATGGCTCGCTTGACGTTGGTGTCCTCGATCATCCTCCTGCTATGCTCCGCCGCCGCCGCAACAATCTTCGAGGACTCCAACCCTATCCGGATGGTGCCCGATGAGCTCCGTGGCTTTGAGTCCTTTGTTCTCAGTGTCCTTGGTCACACGCGCCACGCTTTCTCCTTTGCCCGCTTTGCTTACAAGTAACCGATCATTTTGTTATCTAAATTCTTTCATTTGTTTCCTAGGGAAAAAGAAAGCGTGAAAATTGAGATGAAATTTTGGATTTTTCTTATTGGGTTAGGCATGGGAAGACGTACGAGAGCGTGGAGGAGATGAAGCTTCGGTTTCAGATTTTTAAGGACAATTTGGATTTGATCAGATCCACTAGAAAGAAGGGATTGCCTTACACTCTTGCTGTTAATCGTATGTACTCTCTCTCCTTTTTTTTTTATTAGTTTGAAGTTTATGTTACTTTATATCAGCGGCCTGATGGTGAATCTAAGGTGTCGGATTCGGGCACCTAACTGATTAGGTGATTTCTGATGCTAACTGTATGAGTTGACTTTCTTAACTATGATCTGGGTTCGGTTCAGTTCAGTCCCAGTATGTTTGGTTACAGCCAATTCTAGCCTGACACTTTAGCAGTAGAGAACTAAACTTAGTTGGACTTGATGAAATTGTCAACAGATGATGTTGATTATTGCGCTTCCGCTTGATCTTTTCAACGAATTTAGCTAATTTTAGTCAATTTTTTTTTAGTTTATGATGAACTAATTCTCTTTTTTTTTCCTTTTGTTGATTTTTGTTTATTGATTCGACGATGCAGAGTTTGCTGATTGGACCTGGGAAGAGTTTCAGAAACACAGGCTGGGGGCTGCTCAAAACTGCTCTGCTACCACAAAGGGCAATCATCAGCTCACTGATGTCGTCCTTCCTGATTCGGTACTTTCACTAATAAAACCCTATGAGTACCAAGATTAAGAATTTTTAACTATCCTTGCATTAATATTCATTGGATAATCTCCTGAATTCGCCATGCAACAAGTTGTAAAAGATAGAAAGGTGGAATTTGTTGAAGTACTAAGACATAGTGGATGTTCTATAAAGCTTTTTTTTTAAAAAAAAAAATTGGGAGAAGGCGAATTCGAACCTTGCTCTACAGGCAGGGGAATAATGCATCAACTAATGAGTTAAATGCTCGGGTGCGTGGATGTTCTATAAAGCTTCATTGGTAAAATATTAAGGTCTTTGATTGGGCTAAAGCGATACTTGGTGTTGCAGTATTTGTAATTAAGCATGTAACAAGA